GATATACCTACTATATATATATTCTGAAAGAGCCCCGATGCGATCCTTATCTGTCGAATTAAATTTGCAATCAATGAAACTCAGCCAGCTTGTCAAAATGCCACAAGTCCGGGCCTCTTCCTCTATTGGCACGAAACACCAAAGGTTGCCGCCGAAGCTCCAAAGAGTCAACAAAGCTTAAGTTCGAGCCGGGACTTTGAAATTCGACTTGAAAACTCTGGGCCAACTTCCGTCGCACATTTGCCATTTGTCATTCCATGTCAGCGGATCGGAGCTGCGGTCCAAAGATGCCCAAAAATGGCGACGAAGGAACAGACCTCGCATATAATTTACGATTATGCTTTGGCGAGGATGCACTACAAGAAATGTGGGTTCTTAGGGGTTAATGGAGGGTGTTCTTGGGTTAAGGAAATTTAAATTAAATTTGAAATTTAATTAGTACTTTAGATTTTAATAATTTGTACAATTAATACTAGTTTTTCAAGAATCTCTTTTTAAAGTTTAGTGAATTTGAAGTCTTAATTTACAGAAGGATATTATTGTTCAAGATGTTAGGGTTAATATACTCTTAAATAATATTATCAAAATTTTTATGTTTTTTATGAAGAAGAATATAGGGATTCAGGAGGATAATATATATATTTTCATAAAATAATTTACTGTTTTAAAATCTTAACTTTTATATAAGAATATTACCCCTGGAAAAAAGAAGTTTATAATAATTTATCGAAAGGAGAAGTTTTACTCTCGCTTGCATAAATAAATTCTTTTAAATTTCTATACTTAAGTTATGTTAAAAATTCTAAAAATTCTTTAACGCATCCTTTAAATTGCTTACTAAATTATTTACAATCTATAAGCTTTTATTTCCCCCAAAGTTTCATTGAAAAATTGCTAATTTAGTAAAAAATTCTCCTATTATTTTTTTTATTAACCCTTTAATATCTTATAAATCTTATAAAAAATATAGCAATATATACACTGTTTCATATACATATAAAACCATATTTTCTTATATTTTCTGCTACCTTTTCCTTGAATTTTTCCAAGTGCATCGCACTGAGTCTGAGACTTGATTTAGGTTGCCGCCAAGCCAAAACTTATGGAGCCATTGATGGACGCACTTAGTCGGCAAAGACTTTAAAATTTACGTTGACATTCAGTGAAGTAGCCCCAGCTCCCCCCTACCTCCGCCATTAACCCCTGACTGCCTAATTATTTTATATGGCAGTTGCAGTTACACACTCAAATACACACACAAAACACAAACACACAAGATAAGCACTCCTTGGAAAAACTGCATTCACGTTGGCGTTGCGGCGCCGTTTGCTGTCGATAGATGGAAATTTGTTTGCCATAAATATTATTTTTCACGCGTTTGCCGCAGTAGCTGCCAAAATATTGTGTGTGTGTGTGTGTGTGTGTGTGTGTGTGCTTGGAGATGCCGCCAACGCCATCGAGGTGGGGGCTGGGTTTGGGTTTAGTGCCTCAGCATCGGCTTTCAGCCAACGCCAACTTGGCGGTGGCATCTTTTTGCATTTTGGCAACTTTGTTGTCAACACCGCAACGCCTGCGTCAGTTTCTGCATAAATATTTGCATTCGCTTATTGATTTTTAGACATTTTATTTGAACGTTTTTCAACTTTTGATTGGTAGTGGAAATTTTTATTTGAATTTTATAGTTGAGTGAAATTTTAATTACTATATAAGAAGTGAGTAGAAAAGAGGTTTCTGTTTTGGAAATTAAAATACTCATTACCTTAAATTATTATTAAACAAAAATTAAAAATCTACATAATTTCCCCTGATTCTTTCTTAAAAAGGGGCTTTATTTTAAAATGAAATGATTATAAAATTATTCAGCAATTAATGGCTTTCCTCCTGTTATTTCTTTAAAACTAAAACTATCTTTTTCTTTAAAGAGAAACTCTATTGACGCAATTTTCTTATAAAAAGAGAGAAAAACTTACCTTTTTTGTATACCTTTTTTTCCCTGTCTTTGACTTTCCAGCAATTTCCTTCAATTTCCTGCTGCCACTGCCTGTCTATCAGCCATCTCTCCCTTGTCTAATTAACGCTTCATCGCCATCCCAGAGGCGGCGGCACATCTCAAAAAGAAATCCGAGCCGAACGAACACCTTTCGAAGCTCCGAAGCCCAATTCAAATCTTGGCTCATAATCGCAAAGCAAAAATCTCATTAACGCAAAAGCCGAAAATGTAAAGAGGGGGGGAAAAGCCTGGCCCAGAGAGCTTGGCCAATTAATAAAGAAGCGTGAAATTGAATTTCTTTGCCCAAACTTCACACCCAAAAGATATGCTGGCAAAATCTAAAATCTTTTCCTGCGGCGGCTGCAACAACAAAAACTGCCAAAAGTAACACACACAATACACACATTTCGAAAATAAGGGAAAAGGTTCTATAAATGCAGGTGTGGCTGGGCCTGGGCAGCGGCTATTAAAACTCAATCTGAAATTCAAATCGTAATATAAGGCCACCTCTCTCAAAGTCTGCAAAAACAAAAGGCCAGCTACAAAGTGAAGAAAAAAACCCAAAAAACTATTCACACAGAAAAGAGAATCCTCAGAAGAGACCTGCAAAACACAAAAAAAAATCAAAAGGGCAGAGGCAGAGTCAGAGCGAAGCCAAAGAATTTCTTCTGGCGCATTTTGGCCAAAAACGAATCCGAGAATGGTTGGTCATCCGTCCAGGGCTATCTTAGCATTTGATCTGCGGCGATTCGTCGAAGGTTTTTGGGCTCTGGATGCTGTCTGCAAATTCAGTTTTACACCTGTAAAAAATTAAGAGAAGATAATAATTTATAAATATTTTTTAACAAGAGGAAAGGTAACTAAATATAGAAGCTGTCTTGAAATAATTGGGTTAACTCTTAGGTTTGTTTTTCATATTTTTATGGCTTTAAAATTGTACTTAAATTTAAATATATATTATGAAATATTTACCAAAATATTTAAGGCCTTAAAATCATGGTTAATATTAAAAGATTCCCTTAAAAACCCCCAATTTCTTCCAAGTGCACTCTGGTTTCTGCAGCTGATCTGAGCCCTGAGTCTTCAGTCTTGAGACTGAATATGAGTCGCAGTTTGCCCCGCAAGGAATTCTTTCAATTCATTTGCTTTCTGCCGGGTTTCTTGCTCTCCTTCCTCTGGATATATATACCTGGATATATATATTTTTTGTATTTTTTTTGGCAAAGATCCTTTGGGTCCAACGCGCGGCGCATTTCAATGCTGCACGTGTGCAGGCCCAAAGCGAACCTTCTTCTCTGGTTGTTTTTATTTTCGGTTCCCCTTGAGAGGCCCTGCCTGCCTGCCTCTGCCTTTGAGCCGAGATTGAAATTTGTTGAACACCGGCGTGGCATAACTTCTCTCTTATTTGTTGTACTTTTCATCTTTTTTGTTGGTTTTGGTTTGCCCAGAGTGTTGGTTTTTTTGGTTTTGACGATGACGACTTTTATTAATATTTTGGGGATTGGTTTTGGGCTTGGGGCCTTTTTTTAGGGACTGGGAACTGCGAAAAAAGAGTATCGAACAAAGCAATGCGTTTCTTGGAATCGGTTTTTTGTGATAAGCTTTAACGCTCTCTCAAAGGATGCCCTGTGTATTCCCCATAAAAGCGTTTAAGAAAATGTGAGTGATTAGGGGTTTTTAGGAGAATTATATCAGGAAAAGATTTATTTCTTGAGAATATAGATTTTTTTGTGGTATTTATAGAATAATATCAGAGGAAGCTGAAATGGTTTTTGTTTTTGGTAAAGAATGTTTTTAGTTGTGCTTTTTTAAAGAGGGAATAGTATACATTTTTACTTTATTTAAAATTTTTAAAATATTTTTACACATCCAGGTGAATTCTATATTCGATCTCATTTCTTGAGCTCCAGATTTTGGGGCTTATTTTGGCAAAGGCAAAAAGGTATCAAGGGGGGCTAGCCTTTGAGTATTTTGAAGACAAATCATGCCCCTTGGTCGCATTGAAACGCTTTGTGTGGCTTTGTCTTGCGGTTAGCCAACTTGCAACTCCATGGTTCCACGGCTCTCCTTTGCATCCACCTTTCGGTTTTTTTTTTATTTTGGGGCCGCAATTCATCCGCGAAGGTGGCCTGAAGGCATTTTCATCTCATTGGTGGGTAGGTTGCTCTCGGTTCAGCAGACTTCTGCCCAAAATTAAGTTATAATTTTGGATATGCCGCTGCTGGGTGGTCGTTATTTGCATTTAAATTGCAAACAAATCATCGCAAACCTTTGATTTATAGAGGAAAGTCGCTTGCCTCAATTAAAAAGAATGCCGAAAAACCGCAGAGATCGATCGTTGGGATGCTGCTGCTGATGATTTTGAAGATGAATAATATACGGAAATAGTGCACTTGGGGAAAAATTTAGATAAAACAGAAGCTTTGATTTAATATAAGAATTATGGAAAATAATTTGAAAGAAATATCTGTAATTAATTAAGAAAATTAAACTTTTGAAATTGAAACTCAATTAAAGTATATAAATTACTCTGAAAGATATGATTAAAGATAGCTTAAGATCTCTTATTTCTTGTAAAAATAATTACCTAAAATTTATATATTTCTCAATTAATTTTCTGAGATTTTCCAAGTGTAGTAATGATCGGTCTGGTGCCGCTGCGTAGGCAGTGGAACGGTAGCCATGCAGATCGTCAACCGGCAGCCGTGCCCAGATGACAGCGGCGGCAGCTACTCGTACTTATCGCTCTTTCAATTTTTTTCCCTCTGTTTTTTTGTTGTGAATTTTTCATTTTGTTCAACGTTGTTTTTTTTTTATTTTACGAAAGCCGGAAAATGAGGTGCGTCTGCTGATAAAGAAACCCGTAGCCGCAGCCCAAGACCTCTGTCTACCTCAGCCTGCCTTTGAGCCGAAAGAATGCCAGACAATTCATAAAACCATGAGGCCACAAAGCAGAAGAAATAAACCGAAAAAAAAGGCGAGAGAGGTGAACCATTCTTTGGCAGCCACTTGGCAACGAACGTCACGTAGCGGCGGCATCATTAGCCAAACCGCCAGGTCTCAGACTCAGTCTCAATCCCAATCCCAGATGGAGACAGAGTCACAAAACTCAGCGGCTTGAAAAGTGATTGCACAAAGGAAAATATTTCTAGGATTTTTGGAGGTAAGAAAAATATTTATTAAATTTATTTTAGATAAGTTAAAAGTTGTTAAGTAATTATATAACTAAAATAGTATCAGAATGTATCTACAAACCTTTTCAAAAGTATCTTTATTCGATTTCAGTTTTATTATAGACTGTCAATCCCCCAAAAAGACTTACATATATTTAAGAAATTCTATTATAATGTATAATTTTATTATTTCTAGGTAATTCACCATATTTCCCTATTTTTTCTCCCTGTGTTCGAACTTATTTGTTGCCGTTTGGCGGCAGCCTTTCCATTTTCCCACTCACTTTGGCTGTATGCAACTGTTGCTCGCCGCTCATTAATCCCGAGACCGTAGCTCTGTAGCTCTGCAGCTCAACAGCTCCGTAACTCTGACTCCAAGTAGCTCCGATTCCGATTCAGATTCAGATTCAGATGCCGTACCATATATCCCGCACTCAGCTGCACCTACTTTTCAGCGCTTTTGTTTGCCTGCCGCGCACACCTGAGAGGAAATGCGTAACAAACACTCACAGCACACAGCTGCAGCGGGGTAATTTCCACGGAATTAGTGGCCCCGAGGAAAACACTTTGTTATTACTGAGATTCTGTCCACCACGCTGGAGGTCATCAGCTCACACATCGCATACAATATGTGCGGGTGGTGTATACGGTTATAAATAATATAACCCTCTTGAAAGAGAGGCTCGAGAACGACGGGCCATTGTCTTGCCCCATTGACAGCCATTCAAGTGGAATTCCCCGCATCTTTTAATTGTTTCATAATTAATGTGGGAAAAATGTTGGTATAAATCCCTTTACCGCTGATTGAGACATAGCATACTATATGGTACATCCAGGGGCCATGCGCTATATGTACATATGTCGAAACTGTCAGCGGAGTTTGAAGAACGCTCTTGAGAGACAGAACTCGCTGGGATTTGCAGATGTGACGAGCAGTGAAATGCAGCTCAAGTGGGGGAAGATTGAACTCTGGAGAAGAGATGCAGACGATCTGAGATGTGAATGATCTCCTCAATTGCCCCGACTTGAGTAGAAAGCTTCTTTAATTGTTGGAGAATCGATCTTTTAGTGGATTTAGGAGGGAGAAAGCAATTGAAATAGTCAGGGTATTTGAAAGGAAATTAGGAAATGGGATAGCACTTTAAATAAAATATTTAATATATTTTTATATGCTCAGACAGCTGGAGACAGCTTATAATAAATATAACAATTTTAAAGAAGTTTTTCCGAAGGAACAAGCCTAGTTTTTATGAGGCTTATTCAAATTTTCTTAAATTGGCAGCATTTCCTTTAATATTTTATAAGCTATTTATTTCTTCCTGCTTAAAAATCTTTAAACAATTTAAAACCTTTAAAGAAGACAGCTATTTATTTTGGGTTTATTAATGATAAGAACTCTAATTTCATTTAATACACTTGTTCCTTTGTATTTACTTGAATATTTCCTTCCTTCCTGTAATATTTATGGAAAATCTATTCCCTAAAGCCTTCCATCGGAAGCGGAAGTCTATAATCCGATTAAGGAATCAGTTTTGAACTACATTTGTTACAACTTTCCTTCATCAGATGAAATCATATGGGAAACTGCCAGAAAGAAGATGAAATAATGACTACTCCAATCCCTAATTATTGTTTTCTTTAAGCCAGAAAAAGCAAATAAAAGGTCAAAATATATCAGCAGGTAATACTCCCTCCTTGACGAAACAAATCCAGTTCCTTTCATCATTCTTTGCCTTCCAGACTCTCACACACCCAAAGCGATGATGATTACTCATTCGGTTGATTTCAGGGGAGCAGCAAATTAGCCTCTGACAACTCAATTGGACATCTGCAGGCTGCAGGCAGACTGGGAGATCTGCAGATCCGGAACGGACTCAAAAAAACCCCCGCAAAATGGACGCTTTGGACCACACCCATTGAGTAATCCGCTAACAGAAATCTGCCGGTGCGGCTCAGTCATTTGGCACATTTAATCCACGCGTCAGCGAGCACCGGGGCACCGGGAAAATGTTTGCGCATAGTTTAGGCCAGATAAATCTCAAGTTAAATGGCCAAAAGTCAAAATAAATTAAGCCCACATGCGACACACACGAAAACAACACGGCGGCAGCAGCAGAGAGCCGAAATAAAATAGAAAAGAGTTCGAAGCCAGCAGGCGACAGGCAGTCACCACAAACGTTGTCACACCCTTCTGGCCATTCCATTCTGACCCGTACCCGATCGTCGAAGTTGGATCCCGGCTCCAGCTTGGAGCTCCAAGCTTGGAGCCCAGCTTGGAGCCAGCGACGCCCACATGCAGATGCATTCGCTTCAAGACAATGGGCACGGCCACAGCGCCAGGTCTTGGCACTGGGAAAAAATATATAGGGAGAAGTTTTTATTTGCTTTATTTATAATTTAAAGAATTTTGGAAGCCTTGTTTCTTTAACTAAAATTTTAGATAATTATTTCCACAAAAAAACTGATTAAAGTGAATTTTTTGGAATTATATGTTCTTTTTTAAAAACTATCCTTGAATTACAAAACCATCTTATGGCTTTATAAATGCTTTAAAAAATTCTTAATAAATTAATCTATTTTAAATACATATTCCCAAATTTCCTCTAATTTTTCCAAGTGCTTTTTGAACTCCCCGAGAGCTCAGATTTGTCACCAGCTCGTTGTTGGGCCTTGTGCACATTAGACTTCTGCATGAGTGTACTCATTTGTAGCATAACAGATCTGTACAGTAGTGTAGAGTTCTTAAAAATACTGCACCCAATCCTTTCTGTACAGTATACTCTATAGGCCAGAAGTAGATAGCACAACATTTTTAGTGTGCCCACTTTGCGTGAGTGCAGTATATGGTTGTACCCTTCGGTAGTGAGTACTATATTTGCTGTACAGCTTGTTAGTTGTACAGCTTGTTAGTTGCTTGTGTACAACTGTGTAGATGAGTTCAGTATTCTTTAATAAGTGCATAAAAATGGTACATAAAATAATGTTTCTCCATTCTAATATTAATAATTTAAATGTAAATACTTTAATAAAATAAAATTCTTTATATGAAATACATAGTACACACGAGAACTCTATATGTGTGCATGTACCAGTCATGAAGTTTACTCACTGTACAATAAGTCAACTGCACACCAAAACACTGTACAGTGCCTTGACTACTGCACACCATTTTTGCTGTACTCATAAATAGCTGTACAACTATGGAATGAGTGAGAACACTGTCTGTCAAAACAGACAATACTACCCTACTCACTCACACCCAAGTATACTGTGCAGTAAAAAGTGTGTTCCCGTTTTTAGAATAAATGATTCATTTGTCGTTTTGGATGCATTCATGCAGAAGTCTAGTGCACATGCGCCAACTGCCGCCGCCGTCTCTGATTAAGTTGACGAAACTCAAATTCAAATTGCACGGAATAAGAGAGAGAGAGAGGGGGCTTTGCCTTTGGTTGAGGCCTTTGTGGGGCTATATAGCGACATGATCTGGTCCGCGGCTGGGTGACGAATTGGACAAACATTGGACAATTGCTGCGCCCTCGAAATGTCAACGCCCTAGAATCGAACCTGGATCGGGTGCCCCAGCTGTGGGGAAGGAAGGCCCCCTGCCAAGCGAATATCGAGCGAGTATGCAGAGACACTGGTCAGCAAATGCCTTAAAAACTAAAATAGAGAAAGTAAATTGTACTAGAGAGATTATGTACTTAAATAATTCTTAACTTGTTAAAAAAATATCATATGAAAAGGTATTACTTGACAATAATTTACCTAAACCTTTTATTCAATAGAAACTTATTTATTTTGTATTGTTATTTAAGCTTAGATGATGATGTTTATAGTTAATATATTAATATATTATATATATTATATATTCATGTACAGATACGCTTTCCGAAGTTATGAAGGATTTTACAGATCTACATATACCGAGAGTATATAAGCTTCGGTTTCCCGAAAACCCTTTTCCTTTGTTTTTATACCCTTGCAGGGTATTTTAATTTCAGTCAGAAGTTTGCAACGCAGTGAATATATTCTAGATATATCAGGAAGAAATCGATTTTTTGGCAATTTTTGCAACATTTTATAAGGGGTTACATCATTAAAATTTTTGATTTTGATAAAAAATTGAATTTTCAAAATTTTTAAATGAAGTATGCAGATTTATTAACTGTAGAAAATCTTACACAGAACAGTTTTCCGATTTAAAATTAATGTTCTTTTGGCCGAGTTATGATATTTTTAATTTTAGAAAAAATCAATAAGTTTTTTAATATAAAAAATCCGATTTTACAATACAAAATAATATTTTTCCAAGTCAAGGAATCATTTCCGACCCCATAAACCATATATATTCTTGATCAGCATTAACATGCAAATCTTTCTAGACATGTCCGGAAGAAATTGATTTTTTGGCCATTTTTGCGAAATTTGATAAGGGGTTGCATCATTAAAATTAGCAAAAATTGCCAAAAATTTTGATTTCTTAAAATTTTAAATTTGGTATGCAGTTTTTTTAAAGTAATAAAAACGAACACAAAACTGCTTTCCGAATCGAAATTAATGCATTTTTGGCTTAGTTATTATATATATTTTAATTGTTACCTGCAAGGGTATACAAACTTTGGCTGGCCAAAGTTAGCTTTCTTTCTTGTTAAAGGTTCATTTGTGCTTTCCTCAACAAAATACATACTTAAATATTTTCACACCTTTTCGCAATATGGACCAGTGTCATATGAGGGCACACACACCTGATAAATATGTATAATATAATATGTATAATATTATATATCGTAAGCCCCTCCTGCCTTTCTACCTGCCCCACCGGACTTGGTATTGGTGACATACTTTTACCGCTCCAAACGCATTTAATTATCGAGACAATTTCAATATCGAAAACTGTTTGTTTTGCATTTCGCGTTTGCACGCGTCGATCCAATTCGATTCCAAGTCGAAGTCGAAGTCGAAGTCAAAGTCGAGTCGAGTTACTTGGCGTTTAATGTTCGCCGCTTCAGAAATCGACTGCGGCGTCAGCGTCTGTCGCCCAATTATTCCAACTCTTTTTTTTTAAATATATATATTTTTTTTTTGGCATCAATTTTTGGCGACGACGATCGAGTTCAAACACCTGCAATGCACTCGATGTGTGTAGCTTTCGTTTGCATATTATTTCTTGGCCACCTTTTTTGTTTTTGCATGCACTGCACGCAGCTTTCGGGCTTCATTAATTTGGCTAAATTTTGAAAATTTACTACCCCTGCTAACGGCTATAAATTCTAGCTTATCGAGTTTAATTGCCAAATTCTCGTATTCTCCCAGGGAATTATGCCAGTCGGACTTTTGACTCTGACCAAAAATAAAAGCAGAGAAAAGAAACCTTAAAAAACGATCGCAAAAAATAATTCCCACAAACTTGACTCCGCTTGACCGGCACAACGCAACGCTAGCAAATGACGTGAACGTGAAGTTTGATCAGGTGCGCATACAAATCTTACGACGCCAACTTTCAGTTAAAGTTAAACAAAATACACACACACTCTGGCGCACAGCAATGAGGTTCAGGTAAATGTTTCAGAGGGAGCAAGATAATACGAATGGGAAATACTCTATGACTGAAAAAAAGCCTTTAAAATAAAGAATATTCTAAGCTAAATATGTATGTTGTAAATATGATAAAAGTTGCAGACAAAAATAATGTAGAATTTATGGATATTTAAAGTAGAGTTTCAGTAATATTTCAATATATATTTTAAGCTTAAAATATCAGGAGAATTATCTTTAGAGTTTTATTTAAGCCTAAACCAATATCAGATCTATGATGATGTAGAATTTCAAAGTTAAGAAAGTATGGCTAATAAATTTAATATCTTGTATTAAAATAATAAATAACGTAATTAAAGTTCTATTAAAACTTCACAATGATAAGATTCATATTAAAAAAATATCGGAAAAATTAATATAGCCTTTTAAAAATGTGAATTTTTTTAATTTTTTGAATAATGTCGACGTTCTTTTCTTGTGATAAATTTAAATATATTTTTGGTTCTAAAGATTTCATTAATATATCTATCCATTTTCATATAAATAAATTCTCCTAAAATTAAACCTCTCACTTACATCTCGCTTTTAAGAAAGGGTATTAATAAACTTAAAAACGCTGGCAAAGTAAGCAAAAGTTAATGAGAAAGTCAAATAAACGAAACAAATAACATGCAAAGTGCTGTGCGAGTGAGAGTCTCCTCTGTTTCCCCCTCAAAAGACAAGGTGATGGAGGCCGGAGGATGATGATGAGATGAAGCTTACAGTTGAAGCCAGTTGCGCAGGCGTTTTTTATATTTGCTGCAAATTTTTATTTTATTTTTTTTTTTTCATACCTTGCGGCGCTCAGTGGTTGCGGCTGGCTGTAAAGCATTTTGCGTTCCAACCGCTGACGCGTGAGAAGGTAAACAACAAATACGGCGATGCTACGCCGCCGGCTGATCTGATCCGTGATTAAGCGAGGCTGCCCTCAAGTGGCTGCCCGGGTAAAAGCCAACAGTTCACTGAGAGAAATGTCACAGAGACTGATGGGGAAATCTAGAATCTTAAAGTATTTAATGAGCAGTAAAAACCCCCTTAAGGTGAGGACATAAAAGAACCTCTTTAATCAAAGTATCTTTCATTAGTTAGTAAGTATCTTTAATAAAACCAACTTGACCTGAGGCTTTTTTTAAATAAAATACTAATTTTCCAAGCAAATTTCTAACTCTCCTCTGTGCAAAACTATTATCTCCTGTTCCTGGCTATTTTCTTTGAAGAATTTAAAATAATTGTAATATTGTTTAATGATGTTCTTTTCCTTTCCATAATTTTTTTCTGTGTCTTTGGTTTGCTTTAAGCTTTGGCAGCTGAGTCAATAATCAATCGTATTGTCCGACCAGTGGACCCACGCCCCCTTAACCCCCCATTAGCTCTTTCAGTCTTTCCTTGCAGCTCCAACTGTAACTGCAACTCGAACAGCATCTGCATCTCTGTCCCAGCATCTGCATCTGCGGCTTCGAATGAAACGGAAAGTGGCGCTACAAGTGCATCGACAGCTGATAAGGCCTACCCACCACGACTTGAAAACCAACAACAACTGCCAGACAGTCGCCAGCTGTAATCTTAATGCACTTTTTTGTGTGCCAACTTACAGCGAAGTCTCTGAGATTGCAGCAGGGGTGTAAGAAGGTCGAGTCAGGGGGTAGTGGGAGTATCTGAGCTTAAGATTGGGTAAAAATAATAAAAATACCAGTTCTAAAATTATATAAATAAATATATAATAAGAATATAGATTATACATTTTATAAATACAATAATTTGTAGGATAAATATTCCATAAATAGAACATTATAATATATTTTGTGAATTAAACAAAATGTAAAGTACCTATGAAAGATTTCAGTTTTTAAAGCCTAAGAAATGTAAGGTATTTGTCTTGAAGAACCACTTAAAATTCCAGTTTCTTTATTTTAATATTTATAAACATTTCTATACAATTGTATAAATATTATATCCATATTTTCTTGAATCTTTTCTTAGGCCGCGCGCACACTACGAGCTGAA